AGACACGGATGAGGGTGAGGTATGACGGTGACATGTGTCTAACTGCACGTATGTATGCGTAGTCATGTCTGTGCCGTTGTCATCGTGCCAAATGCTTGTAAGTACTTGCAACATAAGGAGATTGCTCATAGTGAGAACACCTCAATTCGACCTTCACACAAATGACACCTGTCGCATTAGTACGGAAGCGTAGCAGGGCCACGGGGAAAATAATTTTGGTCTCACTATCTCTTACGTAGGACATAGTATCTCCTACGTAGGAGATAATGATACTAAAAGTTCACCGTGGCCCTACTGTGCTTCCGTACATAAGTCTTCACATATACTTGCAACAGAAACAGCACATATGGTGGATTCAATGTTAATAAATGTACTGGATTGTAATAATTGGAAGCAGTGTATCTACGAATCTATGGGTGAAAAATGAACATAGATTATTTCCGTACAGAGGTTGTTATGTTTCAAAATGGGTATTATACCAAATATGTCGATTGTGTTTGAAATAGTTCTCCGGATGTTTAATCTTAAACCATTATACACAGGACGTATATAGTATGTTCTACGTATATGTTCAACACCTGAATGTTTTACACATTCTACAAAGTCAATATTGTGTACCTTCAATACCTTTGTATCAGCCTGTTTCCATAAATAGATCATATAAGCTACAACAATATTGACAAAAGTCTGTCCTGAACTATTTCTATTTCTTTTCTCAAAATGTTACCACTAATATGAGAAACAACAACAGTTGTGGTCGTATGTCCAGTATGTTTCGACCACAACACGTTTCAATACATTTATTTGTTTCAACCCGTGAAGGTCCGGGTTAGAAATGGGCTTCACACATTGTACCCATGTGGGGAATCGAACCCGGGTCTTCGGCGTGACGAGCGAACTCTTTAACCACTGTGCCACCCCACCGCCCCATGGGAACAAGAGCACAAACCATGGAAAATATGATCTGTCTAAAAAATATTAGAAATATGTTCCAAATAGCAAACTATCTGGATGAATGCTTAAAAGCTCTGCTATCCCAGTATCAGACCCAGGTTCCTGTTTCTCTCAGCTGAGTGATGCTGTCAAGGACGTTCTCTCCTGATATCGGACATGCATGGGATAAGTATGTCACTATCATTTATGAATAATCTTCCGTTTCTCCATTATTGTCCTAGAATCAATACAGAAATCAATGCATCAGTATAACAGGCAGGATAGGAATGGTGTGTGGTTACAGCGAATAGCTAGGGTAACCCTATTTTTTTGCTGACTATGCTTATGAATTGATTTTATGTCCCTGATGTTACCTACTCTGCGGTCGTCACAAAGTAGTGTCATAATTCTAACTCCGATATCTGAACAATCTACTATTTTCATGACCCGTGAAGATCCGGGTTAGAATTGGTCTTCAGCAAACCCATGCTTGACGTAAGAGGCGACTAACGGGATCGGGTGGTCAGGCTCGCTGACACATGTCATCGTATCCCTATTGCGTAGATTGATGCTCACGCTGTTCACCATTGGATTGTCTGGTCCAGACTCGATTTACAGACCGCCGCCATATAGCTGTAATATTGCCAACTATTTTCAGATACTGATTTTGTCACTGTAAATTAGAATGCTTCGCATAGAGGTTATTTCTTTCGGACACTAGATTGTCTCAACTTATTGACTGGTAAATTACATGTACTGCATCGCTACACACCATACTATTATGAGCTCGTTCGAAGATGAAGCTATATGCTAACTGGTTATTGTGAATGCAGATTTTGTTTCAATGCTAATTGCAAATTGTTTTTATAATTTTCTTTTCCAAAAGTAGTTTTCTGTCATTTAAATTATATTTCAAGTGTATTCTAACAAGTTACCAAAAAGCAAGAAGTAATTTCAGTGGTCCTTTCATGTAATCAGTTTTCATAAGAGCCTAGCAGTAAGTCTAGAGAGGTGCTGGGGCATTGTGCGGTCATGTGACCCAAAGCATGTGCAGTTCATGCAATCCAGCCACATGGCATAACAGTGGAAGGCCTCATGGTGTACAGATGTGTGAATGACAAGAGTGTTGGAACACAAATGTAAGTTTATTTCATGTATATTTGAGGTTATCTGTCAATTCTGAAGGTTTGAGTAATGACTTATTTTGAGTATAGTATTTTATCATGCTTATGGTTATTGAATAGGAATTTGAATTCTAAAGTAATGTTTGCATTTCATTGCAGAAATAATTCTGTTCTCAATTCATGTTTCATTTGAATTATTATTCAGCCAATGTAACCTCAACATAGCAGTAATTATGCCTTAAAGTTATGCTGCTGTAAGTAATTTGTTTGAGAAACTGTTTTATGGTACCGTTTGTCAAAGCATATTTAGTAAGGTATTTTTTGTTTCTTTTTTAGTTTCTGAACCTCGTCATTTAATGAACCTTGCCATTTAATGAACAATGGTCTATCTAAAGGCTAATGGAAGAGACCAGCTTTAATGTTACCAATTCATGGATTTGTGTAGTATTGTGCCGACAGTTTCTAACCGTCCCTTGACATGTGGACTTCAATGTCGTCAAGGTTATATTGCCAAATTGTCACCAGTACAACCAAATGCCACAACGTTCATAAATGAACATGACGAATATGCTCTAGTGAATAAACTTTGTTAAATGGTGTGAGTTTGTGAGATTTGTAGTTCTTTCATCAACAATTAGTTCAGAAAATTTATGAAATTAAAGTATGAACTTGTGCATCATATGGACATTGATGAAATACATTGCATAGTGATAGCTGTCAAGTGGTTGTACATGTACTGCATATTTAACTGAATGTTCTGTAGATATATTGACAGCTTTGTGCAAGTAATATTTGATCAACATCATGGCAGCAGGTGGCAATTTTGACAATAATGTGGTATCTGGTGACAATCCTGATGTTAAACTCGAGGATCCAGGTCAAACCACTGGACAGGATCCCGGTCAAGCCACTGAACAGGATCCGGGTCAAGCCACTGAACAGGATCCGGGTCAAGCCACTGAACAGGATCCAGGTCAAACCACTGAGGAGGATCCAAGTCAAGCCACTGAACAGGATCCAGGTCAAACCACTGAGGAGGGTCCAGGTCAAGCCAATGAAGATCCAGGTCAAGACACTGCTGTGGCTGTACAGAATACTGAGAGTGGTAATAATGGTGCAGGTGCAATGCCAGGACGTGGTGCCCGTAAAAAGACACTGACTAAAAAGGGTAAAGCAGAAAAGCTACGTTTGATGAAAAATATACAGACTTCTTTGTTGAGGGCTATTACAAAAAAAGAGAAATGAACTTTTGAAACTTATGCAAAATGGTTCATGTGAGAGTTTGCATTTAGTCAAGTATAGTTACGTTGAGTATAATGACCTATGTTCTCAGTATGATGCTCAGTTTAGCACCAATTACAGCATGTTGACATCATAGTCTGATAGAGTTCGTGAGAGTGAACGTCATGAGGACAGAAGGGTTGCTTGGGATGAATTTAGAGTTAGGGTTGATAGTTGGATTGAGATGAGTGAGTGATTGTTAAGTGATCAGCTTGAGAGTGTATCCAGGGTGTCTGGGTCAAAAGTGTCAAAGTCTTCCTCTACTAGATCAACTAGGTCAGCATTAGCAAAAGAACGTGCTCGTCTAGCAGAACTTAACGCCCCAAAATCTATGCAAGGGGCAATTATGCAGCAACAACAAAAAACTGAAGAGCTAAGATTGGATATGGAAATTGCTAAGGCCAAAGCCAGAGAGAAAGTGTTAGCAGAGTTTGAACTGACACCCTTGTCTAATGTTAAAGTTGAAAACCTCTATTGAGATTTAGTTCTCCAGCTGTCAACACGTCATACCCATCTGCCGCTCCCAATGTGACGTCATACTATCTGCCGCTCCCAACGTGACGTCATACCCATCTGCCGCTCCCAACGTGACGTCATACCCATCTGCCGCTCCCAACGTGACGTCATACCCATCTGCCGCTCCCAACGTGACGTCATACCCATCTGCCGCTCCCAACGTGACGTCATACTCATCTGCGGTTCCCAATGTGACGTCATACCCATCTGCTATTCCCAACGTGATGTCATCTTACCCATCTACTGATCCTAACATGACGCCATTCGTGTCGTCAGTTACACCATCACCCACATTGCTGCCACAATCAGAAATGCCCAAATTCAAAGGTGACCCTATTGACTTTATCACATTTATGATGGCTTTTGATGCACGAATCGTGCCCAATACTGCAAGGGATGTTGATAGACTATTACCTTGCATTGATCAGTTGCTAATTGGGGAATCTAAGGATTTGATATCTGGATGCTTGTATATGGAACCAAGTGAAGGTTACCGTTCAGCACGGTTACTTTTGAAGAAACAATATGGCGATCCTTACAAAGTATCAAATGCCTATGTTAATCAAGTCCTGTCTTGGCCATCCATAAAGAATGATGATTCCAAACATCTTCGACGATTTTCCTTCTTCCTAATCAAATGTAGTCATGCAATGAAAACCATGTCTCACATGGCTGTCTTAAATCATGCCCCAAATCTGAAGGCTGTCATTAGCAAGTTGCCTATGTTCCTACAGAATAGATGGCGAGACCAGGTGATCACAGTACGACTGAAAGGCAGAGAAGTTGCTTTCCAAGATGTAGTGGACTTTGTCCATTTTGCAGCAGAATCGGCCAACGAACCAGTATTCAGCAAAGAGGAATCCCAGAAAAGTGAAAGTACTTCAAGAAGTGGGTTGCAATCTCGTTCAAGTAGACAGAAGTCAACAAGCTTTGCTACATATGTATCTTCACCTAGAACGTTATCATGCTATTAGTGTCGCAAGAATCATGATTTGGATGATTGTCTTGACTTTTTACAGAAATCACTGGATGATAGGAGAAATTACCCGAAAGAGAAACGGATGTGCTTTGGGTGTTATGGATCCAACCATCCAAAGGCTGTGGAAAGAGAAGACGATGTAAACAGTGTGTTAAGCGTCACCCTACTGCCTTGCATGATGGCAACTATGTAGCGTCACCGAACCAGTCAATTATAGGCAATCTTTCAATAGACGTGGCCTCTACCAATACAGTCTCAGCATCTTGCAAAACAAACCTGGACTTGGGAAAAATAGTTCTTCAAGCCATCCTTCCAGTTTTTGTCCATCAGAAAGGTAAAGACACCTACATAAAGACGTATGCTCTTCTCGACAATGGTAGCACAGGATGTTTTGTCACTGATAATTTGGCTGAAGAGTTAAATGCATTGTCAACCGCTTCATTGTTGAAACTGAAAACCATGCATCGTGTAAATACAGTCAATACATCCTCAGTAGCAAACCTCATTGTGTCAAACTTAGATGGCCAGAACGAGGTATGCCTACCAAAATGTTTTACCAGGGAAGATTTACCTGTGAGCCATAATCAGATTCCAAATGCAAATGTTCTGAAACAATTTCCTCACCTGAAGCAGGTAGCAGATGTGTTGCCAGACTTTAGTCCATCCACTGATGTCGGTCTCTTAATTGGAAGCAACTGCCCTGTAGCACTGCAGCCCCAACGTATAGTGCCAACTGAAGGAGAAAGCCCGTTTGCTGTACTGTATCAACTTGGGTGGACAGTCAATGGCCCTGTTCATGTAAAGTACAACCAAGGAGACAACAACCTTACCTGTAACACAGCCAGCCTTCATGAGGTAACCAGGGTGACTTAATGTCCCACTCCAGATAGAATCCTCAAAATGTTTCATCTTGACTTCAGTGAATAGGACCAAGGTAAAGGACCTGGCGATAAAGGCAACTCCAGAGAAGATGACCAGTTTCTTAGTATTGCCAAACAGAACATGAAGTTTGTAGACGGACATTTTCAGCTCCCCCCTGCCATTTTAAGACAAGGAGGCACAAACAGCAAATAATCGAGAGCAAGCAACGAAGTGAGCAAAATGGCAGAAGAAGAAAATGTTGGAAAATGATCAGTATCACAGGGATTATGTCGCATTTGTGGATAATCTCTTCGCTTGCAACTACGCCTACAAAATACCACCCAGTGAAACCTTCACCTCACCTGAAAGAATCTGGTATCTTCCCCACCATGGCATATACCACCCCAGGAAGCCACAAAAGATCCGGGCAGTCTTTGACTGAAGAGCTACCTTTAATGGCTCATCTCTGAATGACAGACTACTGCAGGGTCCTAATCTCACAAACTCTCTGATAGGCGTCCTTACAAAATTCCGTGCAGAACCAGTGGCATTTATGGCCGATATAGAGGCAATGTTCTACCAGGTAAAGGTGCCCTTAGAACAACATGACCAGCTCCGTGCAGTATCTTCTCCCAGTATAGATAACTTTGCTCTCAAAGCTACAGCTGACAAAGCAGAAGAGAAGTATGGAACTGAGGTTGCTGACACAATTAGAAAGAATTTCTACGTGGACTATTGGCTCAAGTCTGCAGCAAATGAAAGGAAAGTTATCCATCTCATCAAGGATGTACAATCAGCATGTGCAGAAGGTGGATTTCGCTTAACTAAGTTTGTATCCAACAGCCGAGATGTTCTTAAATCAATCCCTTTAGAAGATCGTGCCAAACAGATTCAAACTTGTAACTTGGATTATGATGAAATGCCCATGGAACGGGCACTTGGTCTTCAATGGCATGTCAGCACTGTATGTTTGGCTTCTCAACAGATCTACCTAGCAAGCCAGTGACCAGAAGAGGAATACTTTCAACTGTCTCCTCGCTATATGACCCACTTGGTATGGTTTCTCTTGTGATTTTGCCAGCAAAGAATATTTTACAAGATCTCTGTGTAGACGAAACACTTGGTTGGGATGATGAGATACTACCTGAACTGAACCACAGATGGAAAGAATGGTTGAGTGGTTTACTGCAGCTCAAAGATCTGAGAATACCTAGATGTCTAAGGCCAGTTGAGTTTGGTAGGATTGCATGTAGACAATTACATCTCTTTTCAGATGCCAGTTCCATTGGTTATGGCTGCGTTGCATACTTGCGTCTACTGGATGAAGGTAAAAACATCAATGTGTCCTTCCTGAAGTCAAGGTTGGCGCCAGTAAGAACAGTTACAATCCCTAAGCTTGAACTAACAGCAGCATCAGTATCTCTTCGGCTCGGGAACAACTACTGAACCACTACTGAGATTGATGAAGTATCATACTATACTGATTCTACCACAGTCCTTCACTACATCAATAATGAAACAAAACGCTTCCGATTGTTTGTGGCCAATCGGATTCGTTTAATCAGAGACTACTCGCAACCGTCACAGTGGAAGTTCATAGACTCTCGCACCAACCCAGCTGACATTGCGTCAAGAGGCATGTGTATAGGGCAATTCCTTCATGCTGACACTTGGTTTCATGGACCCAAATTCCTCCACGCTCATGAATCAAAATGGCCAGACTGCTCCATTCCAAGTACACCAGCAGAAACAGTCCAAACCACAGACCTACAACCAGAGATGAATCATTGTATGGAGAAGTTGATCTCTCATTATTCCAACTGGTATCGTTTGAAACGCGCTCTGGCTGTCTACATCTTTCTCAGGGATGTACTTCACTCACGGCTCAACTGACCAACCTTTCACGGTGGGACGACTAGAGGAAGCAGAACTGGTCATTATTAAGTATGTACAACATGTACTATTTCCTTCCGAATGTGAAAGTCTGTCTGATGTCTCACGCAAACGAGGCCGAGTGCTGAAAAGTAGTTCCATCTACAAGCTAGATCCCTTCATGGAAGGTGGAGTACTGAGATTGGGCGGCCGCCTTAGCAGAGCAGATATTCAGGCTGACATGATGCACCAAATCTTGCTTCCCCGTAAAAACCATGTGACAAACCTCATCATTCAGGACATACATGTCAGACTAGGACATGGAGGTATGAATCATGTCTTGTCCATTCTCCGAGAAAAATACTTGGTGATTAAAGCCAACTCTATGGTCCACAATATATTTTCACACTGTGTCACCTGTCGACGAATGAGGACTCCAGTTTGCAATCAGAAAATGGCAGACCTACCAGCCAGCAGAGTAAATCCGTCACCTCCGTTCACCCACACAGGTATAGATTTCTTTGGGCCACACATGATTAAAAAAAGGGAGGAAATATGTCAAAAGGTATGGAGCACTGTTTACCTGTGTGGCCAGTAGAGCTATCCACATTGAAACTGCATGTTTACTTGACACTGATTCCTTTATTCAAGCCCTACGACGCTTCACTGCCAGAAGGGGACCAGTCAAACAGATACTCTATGACAATGGTACAAATTTTGTTGGAGCAGAGAAGGAACTGCGTGAAGCTGTGATGGAGATGGATCAGGATAGAGTGAAAGAGTATCTCTTGAAGCAGCATATTGAGTGGAGGTTTAACTCCCCTGCCGCCAGTCATATGGGAGGGAGCTGGGAAAGAATGATTGGCTCAGTTCGCAAGGTACTTGTTCCTTTGTTGAAAGAGTTTGGCGAGAGGCTAGATGATGAGTCCTACTGGACGCTCCTCTGTGAGGTTGAATCAATCATCAACTTCAGACCGTTGACCACAGTATCAGATTACCCTAGTGATCTCAACCCCCCTCACCCCTAGTCATCTGCTAATGCTAAAATCTGAAGTGTATTTTCCTCCTCCAGGGCAGTTTCAGAGAGATGACATGATGGACGTAGATGGAGACGGGTACAGTATTTGGCTGCGGTATTCTGGTCACGATGGCGCAAAGAATATCTCCCGACTCTGCATGAACGGCAGACATGGCCTGTACCCAAACGTAATCTTCAAATAGATGATGTTGTACTCATCAAAGACGAGAACTTGCATAGGTCTGACAAGTCTGGCTTGGTACGAAGTGTGGAAGTGAAAATTCAGAAGGGTCAGTTGCGCAGACCAGTACATAAACTTGTCTTGTTGCTCGCAAAAGATGAGTAAATGGATGTTGTTCACCAATTTGGTGTGCTGGAGATGGTAAAATATATTGTGAAAGGATAAATCTGCATGATTTGTAGGTTTTTTGTTAAACAGCAGGTAACTGTTTAAGAGGCCGAGTATGTGAATGCAGATATTGTTTCAATGGTAACTGCAAATTGTTTTTATAATTTGTCATTTAAATTATATTTCAAGTATATTCTAACAAGTTACCAAAAAGCAAGAAGTAATTTCAGTGGTCCTTTCATGTAATCAGTTTTCATAAGAGCCTAGCAGTAAGTCTAGAGAGGTGCTGGGGCATTGTGCGGTCATGTGACCCAAAGCATGTGCAGTTCATGCAATCCAGCCACATGGCATAACAGTGGAAGGCCTCATGGTATACAGATGTGTGAATGACAAGAGTGTTGGAACACAAATGTAAGTTTATTTCATGTATATTTGAGGTTATCTGTCAATTCTGAAGGTTTAAGAAATGACTTATTTTGAGTATAGTATTTTATCATGCTTATGGTTATTGAATAGGAATTTGAATTCTAAAGTTCATTGCAGAAATAATTTTATTCTCAATTCATGTTTCATTTGAATTATTATTCAACCAATGTAATTACTAACACAGCAGTAATTATGCCTTAAAGTTATACTGCTGTAAGTAATTTGTTTGAGTTACTTTTTGTTTCTTTTTTGGTTTCTGAACCTCGCCTTTTTATGAACCTTGCCATTTAATGAACAATGGTCTATCTAAAGGCTAATGGAAGAGACCAGCTTTCATGTTACCAATTCATGGATTTGTGTAGTATTGTGCCGACAGTTTCTAACCGTCCCTTGACATGTGGACTTCAATGTCGTCAAGGTTATATTGCCAAATTGTCACCAGTACAACCAAATGCCACAACGTTCATAAATGAACATGACGAATATGCTCTAATGAATAAACTTTGTTAAATGGTGTGAGTTTGTGAGATTTGTAGTTCTTGCATCAACAGTTATCATGTATCGCGTGTGGCACGTGCACAATGAACTCGCATGAGATTATCTCTCTCGAGTACACGTCAATTACTCCATTACTTGTAGGAAGA